CCATTCCGCGTGAATAGAAATCGTTCCTGAGCCCGTCAGACACACAGTAATGTACGTTACGGATCCTGGTTTTCCCCTTCGATTCATGGTCCGCGCGTGGGCCATAAATCGATGGGGGAAAATCTCGGTCCGTAACTTACAGTACGGCCCTCGAACTCGGTTAGTGAGAGGTATTTGTTTTTTTCCTGAAGAAAAGGGGATGTCGCAGTATCGCTTAGCAACCTGTCTCAGTTTTCGGTCTGCGGCCGTTAATTAGTTTCCAGGTCCCCGATATATATATAAGAATTATTCTAAAATTACACGCAAGCACGATGAAAAGATCGCGAGTTACATGATGAATCACGATCAAAGATCACGAGTTTAAAAATTGTGATTCTCCTACGTCGTACGCCTCCTAGTTTCCTCGAGAACTACAACATGCAGAGTGAATATGCATCTGAACATTTTCTCTAATTTCTAAGCGTGCATTTGTTGTGATCAGGGATGGCCGCATTTGTTGTAATCGGGGTGGCCGCGTTAACGGGGTTTTCGCCGGGACAAAGGGTGACCATAAGGCGGGGTTCCACTGTATCGGAAATCAATGTCCAATCCATAAGAGGAATTATTTTGACTTTTAACATGGTTAATTAGCAGTTTTACGATGACGATTCATGGTTTTCGATTGTCGTCCCCTTTTTCCAGACTACTTTTCACAACTACTCAACAACTCAAAAGTATTCAGATCATACCAACTGGGCTAAGAGGTAGTTGGAAGGTTTTCAGGGGCAATGTACTTGATTTCACAGCTACCATCTCACCATAATAACTATTTCCACTTTATACCGGGTGCTACGTATACATGGCTTGCTTACTTTGTCTCATTAATCACAAACAAGCAAAGCTGCAGTGTAATATATTTTGGCTGTTTTCAGGTGAAGCACTATACTGCAACTTCTGTTTCTCAAACAAGTCATGGAGTGACTGTGATAGCAATAGCAAGCAAGATATTTGTGATCCTACAATTGATAAAGATGGGGCGTGCACTAAAGTTCACCGGGTGGAAAAAAAAGGTGGAAAGGATATCCATCACTTTTCAAAAAGCTGCCTGCCATCGAGCCATTGTAGTGGAGAGGATTGCGTGACCCATGGCCAAAGTTGCCGGTTCGATTGCTGTAATACAGACTATTGTAATGGGTCGGTGTTTCTGAATGGGAATTACATGACTTTTTTGATGCTTGCATTGGTAATTATTGCTCATCTTCTTTGAAGTTTTTGAAACTTTTTCAAAGAAACTTTTCAGTAGTATAGTAAATTTATTACAGCTCTTTTCCAGGATTAACTTAAAGCAAAGTTAATGGGAGGTAAATGGTTTGGAAGCCCGACGGCAAACTTCCAAGAAGCAGCCAAAAAAATAATACAAACCAAGATTTCTGTCGGAAGGTCCACGACCTTACATAGTCTAGGTATGAACGTTTCTATTTGCAAGTTCCTTGGACAAAAGTCAGTAGGAACCTTATTTAGAACTTTGTCGGGCCTCATAGCCATTGTCCTCAAAACCAGGTTTACTTCCATAGATACACTCATATATAACACATATTTAACACTTTGCTGTTTAAAAGAATTTTCTGCAATCACCAGCGATAGCTTTTTTGTAATAGACAGATTTGGCTAATGTATTTACATGCTGGTTGCCACCCAATTCACACCACGTGTTGATTCATTTGGGACCTTAGAGACCAATTTCGATATATTAAAATTCAAACTTGGCTCCGAGGCTTAGGGGAATAAAGCAAAAGAAACGGCATCGAGGATGAGGGATGAATAATTAATTTATTTTGCGTTATTCCCCTAAGCCTCGGAGCCAAGTTTGAATTTTAGTATATCGAGACTGGCCTTTTGCAATTTGCAACACGCAACTGATTGCATGGGAGTGTGTACAAACTGAACAATTGAAATCTCCCAAATGAATCATAACATGAGCTTAGTTGGGTGGCAACAAGAATGTAAACACGTCAGGCGAATCCTTCTGTAGTCAAGCCTGTACAACATCCCAGCTCAAGATAAACTGAACAAACTTTATACGCATGCTTATTAGCAATTACTAGTTATTTGATTCAAATTTGAATCACTTGTAATATTTGAACTCAAGAAGGCAGAAGTTTCTGTCGAGACATGTATGTGAAATTAAAATCGTCATTTGTTTTCATCGAAAACTTGCCGTGTCTTTCCTGCTGACTTGCTGAATTAAAGAAGATAACGAAAGTCAGACGGTGAGAATGATGTGTTAAGTTTCCTGGGTACGTTTGTAGAGCAAGAGTGCGGGCAATGCAGCGCAGACATTCCTTGCATCCTGCTGTACAAACTAAAGACACACATCTATCTAACCGTATACCATTTTTCATAACAATTAATTCATTACCTCCAAATATTTCTAATATCATCAAGGATTAAACAGAATAGCGTGCTGCTAACTTCGGATCGCTGTAAAAAAATCTTCCAACACCCATCCATTGTCACTTTCGCATAGTCTTCGGGACGTGTTGGCGAAAGCTTAACTGCCCTCTAGCGTCTCTGCCTCTAACACCACAAAGCTCACACTTACCCTTATGGAAAGAACTGTACTACCTGCCCCTACACCTACGACAAACTCACACAAATATACCTCACTATCCAGTGGTGAAACAAGAATTGTAAAATCACGCTTGACTTGTAATTCTAAAACCTCATTTACATTATATAATGCAACAATTGTAATTTACAATAAATTCGAGAAACTTCACCACAGTAAATTTAAAACAAGCTTTCTTATGTTTTTTTCCCTTTAAACTTATTTTGGCAGTGGAGCTACTACGCGCTAAGGTCGTGCAAGCGGAGCCCCATACCTTGAAAAACGAGCTAACAAAATTAATGTTGGTTGTCACGTGACTGTCCGTACGTCCGTCCGTCCGTACTCCGCTTAGGAAATTTATAAGCTTTGCGAATTACCTCTATTAGTAAGGTTGCAGAAATCCAGAAGTTACGACAGATCTACGACAGACGTCGCGAACAATACAAGTTTCAGTTCCACCTCTTTGGTTTCATCCTGGTCGACCGGGCTGAAATTTCTCATGTGAACAGACAACAAAATTCCTCCCGGTACTTATATGAACAGATAATTATATGAACAGATGAAGTGAGAAATATATGAGACAACAAATGGTAGGAATTTCCCGGTTAGTGCTTCAAACCACTTTTTAACGCTAACAAAAGGGCGAACCTCCCTAAAGAAACAATAAAAGGAGCCTGGGTATACCCGCAAGGCCATGGGACCTAGATCTCGTGGTCCCATGATGCTTCGGTGGCTTTTTGACGCCACGGAATAGACGGGCAATAGAGAGACCCCATGGAAGGGAGGGAAGAAGGGTCGGAAGCTCATATATTTCTCACTTCATCTGTTCATGTAATTTGAATTATAACTTCAGGCCGCTTCGCGGCCCTAGTATAATTCTCATTATATTTCACAGACTCCGTTCGAAATATATGAGACAACAAATGGTAGTTTTTAACGCTGCTACTAAAAGCAACAAAACAGCCATGGTTCCACAAAACAAAACATTTAAATTGTATATATATTATATATATAAATCAAAACTCAACAGGAGAATAGCTGAGTTTACAAGTACATTTACTTTGAGGATAAGACCCCAGTAGCAAAGTCTGATGTAAACAAGGGTTTATAGTAAAATGTTCTGAAAATTGAAGCAGAAGACCAGTTGGCCATTGACATGATAGTCGACAGCGGGACAAATGTATTGGCAGCTGCTATCGTAGATGCACCACGGACAGAGTGAGCTTTAAAAATCTGACTATTCCTGCTGCATTCATAAAGGTTCGTAGCTAACGCCCAACGTTGTAGAAGTGACCGGTTTGTGGGGGCGTTTAAATGAAATAAACAACTTATCGGCAAGATAAGACGGGATAACGGGTCGAACGTTCCTGGATGATTTTAGATAGTCTAAAACAATCTACGGGACAGAGCTTCTTGTTTTGGTCAAAGCGGGCAAAAAAATGCTTCCGCTGGTTTATCTGCACTGCCAGATTTTCTAGGGACGGTGAGTTTGAAAGACACCCATTCTGGAAGGACGCTGCAATGTCTGAGAACCAGGGAAGCCAAGGCGAAAATCCGTTCAGAACAGGTTAATGCAAACAGGGTGACTATCTTCATTGAGATAGCTTTAAGTGATAGGGTGCTGTTTTTCCCCAAAGAAATTATTTATTTAATCATAACATCAACATTCCAGGTATGGGAATACCTGGGCTTTGGAGGACGTTTATTGAGAGCTCCTTTAAGGAACCTAGTAACGTAAGGATGCTGACCCACTGAAAAAACCATCTATCTTTGGATGAGTTGACGAAATAGCAGAACGAAGGGTGATCGGTATGCTAAGCCTTCGTTAAAGAGTTCTGTTAAGAAAATTAGAATGTCACTTATAGATGACAAAAGAGGATCAATTTGCCGTCCAGAGATACGACGAGGTGGAGGTACGAGTAGCTGCGATGAGTAGATCAGCAGCGTTTGTTGGAATGCCCTCAGCTTGGAAGCGTTGGTAGAAATGCGAAACACGGCCAAGTGAAGGCGAGGATACATTGGATAAACTCAATTCGGGTCGGTCGGGTCCGTTAAGAGGGTTAGACCTTTCGGTAGCAACACTGGCTGAGATATTAGAAGTCTCAACAGAACCGGCCAACAGGGCTCGTCTTGCCAAACTGGAGCAACGAGAATGAGATCGTTTGGTCGATTGTTACATTCTTCAGGGTTTTGGATATCAGATTGAAGGGTAGGGGTGGGGGGCGGGGGTGAAGGCATAGCACGGTTGACTGGCGTGAAATTTCCCATATGAGTCATGAGCAGACTAGAAATTCGCGCCAGTTGCCGAGCCAGCCCGGTTGCCGGGCCCTAAGAAGTGGCCCTAGGGAAGCGAACAAAATAACCAACGAACAGAAATATACTTCGATATATAGGCCAAATTTGGAACTACAAATAAAACATAATAGAAAAGACAAGACTTTAATCTGAATACTTCATTAAGCATTTTCAAGACCCAGAGTTCCAAGCTAAAACAAAAGAACAAATGAACGGATAGATTTATTCAAGTGTTAAAGGCTTTTAACATTTCAAAGAACTATATAATAATTATCGTACGCGGAAGTTGTTGTTTTCGTTGCTACAACAACGAGCGTTTTTAAGGTGGCCATGTTGGTGTTTTTTTGCGTTGGAAAAAAGAACTCATAATATTTATTATATTGTTTGGGAACATCAGTATGACCACCTTGACGTCATAATTGCAGTATAAAAAATACTCTGAGTTTGCAGGTGTTATGTTTATCACCTTTTAAACCAATATGTCTCCAAGGAATGCCAAGGCTATCCTCAGCCATATACTGTATCCCTAACCCCGTTTGTTCAGTTTTGCAGTTTATTGTTAGAAGATCTTACAGCTGACTAAGTGTGAAAAATCACCCGTCTTAGCTCCAGGCTATCCGTGGCTCAGAAATTTTATCTTTGATTGTCCCCTGTGTCGCCATGTCGCGAGTGTTTGAAACAAAAAAACAACAAGTGTCAAAAAGCATTTTGCTACTTGGAACATAGTGTAAACCGTGTTTATACTGTCTTGGAATATGATGTCATTTATCACTACTAACAACTCTGATGTTTTTAGATGAAACAATTATTTTCAAATTAACCCAAGGTTATTGTTTCAATACAAGTTTACAGCGTCCCACCTGGAGACATAACATTGATTTTCATCATTTAAAAACTCTATTTTTTAACAACAATCGATCTCTATAACTAGCTAACCGCAATAAAACGTCCTCATGATTCAAAAGGAAAAAGGAAACCCGTCGACCACCCTCTTTACAAATTACTGCTGTACATGATGTATCGTTGCCATGTGATCGAGCTTTTACTATCGTCTTTGTACGTGGAGTCTTGTCAGTAAAACGTTTTTGTAATCGCAATTGGCCGAAAATTTCGGTTCAATCTCTGTCCAAAGCACCTACCAGCTGCAATATTTTTCAAGTTCGACTGCTTTTGTATTTATTTATAAGCTGGAAAGGAAAATACTATCACTGGCTAAAAGAAAACTGATCTATTGAGTAACCTTCCGCGTGTATAGAGCAAGGAGGGGATTTCAAGATTGTAAAGAAGACCAATTATTTGTCACACGATGATGTTCATAGTGGTCGATTTTAATGGATGCAAAAAAGGAAATTTTCAGCCTTGTCAAGCCCTTCCATATCTGCAGGTAGCAAGATGAATCATCTGTTACTATGCACTCATTGCTCTTCCAAGTTCTCTACTTCCTCTGGAAGTTGGAAACTAACTTGGCGTCGAAGACAACCTTGAGCAGCGCTCCCCTAAAAAGATTTTTCGAAAAAAAGCAAAAATGTAGCTAAATAAAGTAGGAAAAACGGAAAGCTGTATGCATAATATGGTGACTTAACCTACCATTCCCGCTTACGTACATAATCAACCGAACGAAACCACACGACGCAAACTCGACATTTACTTCCATGTGTTTGTTAATAAGTATGTCCGGCGTTTTGATAACAATCCCTTTACTCGAAAACGTTAAACAATTTAACAAGCCTTACTCAGGCTTCCAGGCAGAGAATTGTGTTCCACGTAATCCACCCTCAACAACATCTTTATTTTCTACCTATAGGCATCCCTCATCGCAAACACAGAAGTCCCATTCCCTTGCTCGTCGCCAACAAGTGGTGGAACAAGGGAACTACTTAGAAATTACGTGGAATTAACTCCTGGAACATGGGAATTACAAGGCATGGTGGAATAAGGGTTTACAGTTAAGTCTGATTACTGAGGAGGAAGTTACATGCAACAGGGCAAGGAACTACTCAAACAAAGCAACAAAACATCAAGCACAAAGAAAAATAAATAAACAAAGACAAAAACGTCAACAAAATAAACAAAATAAAATAACCAAACAAAAAAAATGGTTACTGCACAAACCTTTGGCAGTTAAGAGATTAGTGGGTCTTCGTTATTCTAGATAAAGCAAAACTGGTTAACACATGCATGACTGAGTTTTTAAAGGACCAGGAACTGTTTATTGAGTGCAAGGCAGGTACTATATAGATACATCCAATCCGCGTTCTCTGGCTTTTGGTTCTCATGCTTTTTAATTCGTCCAGTGAGTACATCCGAGTGAGAACAGTCTTGAATAAAAACTGTTGCTGACAAAAGAAGAACTAATGTTTCATGAAAGCTTCTCAGCTTGTCGAAGTGTCAATCATCATCCACAACGGTCAATTTCAAGATAATCCTCGCCTGGACATACCGCACAAGGAAAGAATTACTGACTACCCAGATAGGTTTTAAAAACACTTTAAGTAGATTATAGTAATAGAGATATTAGTGACCGGGCGAACAACAAGTTCTGACAGTCCCTTGTAAGGCAATCAAGCATTATTAGTCAGGCAAACATATAGTGACTTAGTGCCGCAGAGAAACACTCTGGTGGTTGACAATCAAGTCTGGCGGACAAACGGAAATAACGCACTATTTGAACTAAAACTTAGTCGAGGTTGTGTAGATTGAATTACAGTTCTCCACACACATACACACACAAAAAACAATGTAAACTTCACATAGTGCAATTTTAAAATTCTGCTTCACACTAGCAAAATTAAAACATCTTATTAGGCTCATATCGTCACGATCTTACTATGTCGATATAACAGTATACATGAACCTTTTCTCATTGAACCGTTGTGTCGCTCGTGTGGGCTAGGTTTAAATAACACCCTTAATATCACTCTAAACTGGAATACACCTGAAGTTTATTAAAGAGAATTTAATGAAATATAGAAGAGTTCCAATGGGAAAAGAAGAGTTTAAAACAAGATAAGAATTTATTATTTTTCAATGTTTAACAAATCATAAATAACAGCGGACCAGCCAGCTTGTAACGGCACCGAGTTACTAAGGAAGAAATTTAAGGTGAATTCTCACATTAAGCAGTTGTTCAGTTCAATTAATTGGTGCTTTAGTTTGCGGTTTTGAACGAATCTATTGATACGATTAAATAATCCTACATATGGGTGACATCTTCAATTAGCAATTTGTAGCATAAGGATTTAGGTGCAAAGCAATCCGTAGGTTCAATAATAGATGTGTTTTTTTATATATAATCGAAGTAACGTGAGGAATCTTAAATTGTGTTAATAGTTTAGAGGGTCTCGGTTTTCTGAAATTACGAGGTGTATATTAGAAATTTGATTATCGAATTGCTTTCAACAAACGACAAGCTTTGTTTCATGCTTGAGGTAACAGGACGTCCTTGTTAAACAGACGCTATGGGCAGTGGAACAATTCCCACATGTTTAACTTTGCAAAATGGACGTTAAGGAAAAATTCGTCAGAAACGTTAGGAATTATTGACATGAATAAATAAAGACCGATTAACCTTTTTATCACGATTAGTTTGGTTTAGCATCTAATTAAACCATCGAGACAGTCACCATTGATGAGTTTTAGACTACACGTTTCTTCATACTATTTGAAATATCTAACATTTATCTAAACAAGCGTATCGACAATTATATTTTAAGTATATCAACCAGCGCATTTTACCAGCACCCTGCCTATGTTTCCTCACAAGTACAGACACGCCTTACACACGAACACAAAGCCCCCACACAGGTTAATCAGGTTAAGCTTGTTAACCTACAGTTCATCTTTTCTCCCATAATTCTACCAAGCAATTACCGTAGACCATGTTTATTCTTTTATTCTTGTTACATAGCATATCTTCATCCCATTTACTTCTAACTCTCTCCTAAAATATTCTCACCAGCTTTTTCACATTCAAAAAAATACATCGTAATAATATTTGCAACGTGAAACTGTTGAACAAAATTCCATTGAATAAATTCCTCGATAGAAAAGACACGTAAGAAAACGACGGAAATCTACAATTTGCATTTATTTTCTGAGAAATAAGTCTATGTATCATTTATTGTCGCGCCCGCATTGTGTACTATTTGTACAAATTTTGAATTATCCTGGCCTGTAGTTTCTTCCGCACTTTTCTCTTTGACATCATTTGAGGATACGTGTATTTCACTAGGTGCCGCCGATGCTGGCTGTTCAGCGGTATCACTGCGCGTTTGTGGACTGGGTTCTTTACTTACAGTCTCCTGAGTGACTGCAGATGCTGTTTGAGACTCGGAAAAGTTCGATTCCTCCGCTTCTGTTAATGAAATTTCGTGAGGATCTGAAAAACACAATTTGAATTGTGCCATTGTATAGTTCAGTGATGAATCACCATTGGTTATACATCATCATTTGAATTCTAACATATTTCTCAATATTTTCTATCATCTATTTTGAGTGCTACGGAGCAAATGACATGTACCAAGTATTTTGATAGCACGTAATAGATGATGCTTGACCAAATGGAACTAACACTGTTTCGCCACGCAAAAAAACTCCAAAAAAGACAGAAAAGCAAGATATCTAGAATCCTAAAGCACATCGCTCCCTTGTACATTTTGTATTTCATTAAACTGCGCAATTGTCTTTTTCCTTCGCAAAATTTACGTGACTACAAAAACAGTTGACGAAGATACGTCAAGTTTTCTCTGTGGTTTTCCCGCCATCATGATTTCCGCGATTAAATTGATTGTATAGTTCAGCGGATACTCGCATGAGTATGCGCGCGATGCCCTCCTGCCTGCTTTCAACTTATTCACCGCGGGTTTCTAATATCAGTAACGTTATTAGTAGTAGAATTTAACGAAGCTTTGTTCACAGAATCGACATTCCGATACTTACCAACTACGACGACTTTTTTCTCAGCTGTAGCAGTCTCGTCAGGCGCCGCCGCCGTGTGGCTGCTGTGTGCAGTAACCATGATCTTTTTGAGGCTACTTCCTTCAATATTTTTATCAGCTTCCGTAAATGATCTCGATCGTCCTTTGTCAGACGTCATACTATCACCGGTAAGTGTTCTTTCTCGTTGATTTCGGTCCTGTTCTGTCATTGATCGCACACGATTTACTGAACTTCCTACATTACGCTTTCTTGGAGACGTTTTGACTGAAAAATAGAAATGCAATCATTTATGAGCTGATTAACATGTCGGGCTTTTGGCTGTAGGTATTAACACTTGTTCAGGCTTTTGCCTGTAGGTATAACACTTGTGTAGACTGGTGGTTGGATGTGTAACAATTGTGCAGACTGGTAACTGTAGGTATCAAATCAACACAGGCGTAATAATAACGCTTGTTCAAAGTCAGAGGATTATTTACAAAACATGGCGCCATTGAAGGTTAACGCGGTAATACCTTCACTATGGAGGGCGCCTACCAAAATACAAAGGTCTTTCGCCCGAATTAGGACTATGTGAAAAAAAGACCTCAGCAAGGGCTGTTGAAATCCAAGAAGAAAACTGGGGGTAGCCACGCATTTCTTCAAAAATATTTAGCCTTGAATCTCAGACAAAAATGCTGACGTTGGCATTGTTTCTGAAATTAGCGAAAAAATATTTCTCCATAGTTTTTCTTAGAATTTGCGTTGGTTTACACAGAACCAAACAGCACCATTAGCGTCCCTAATAGTTCGCCTCTGACTTAGCAAAATTAATGCTGCATACAACCAAAAACTAATCACGTGTTTGTTTGACTGACTGACTGTATTGTACTGATTGATTTACGGACGGACGGACGGACGNCCCGTTTGTTCAGTTTTGCAGTTTATTGTTAGAAGATCTTACAGCTGACTAAGTGTGAAAAATCACCCGTCTTAGCTCCAGGCTATCCGTGGCTCAGAAATTTTATCTTTGATTGTCCCCTGTGTCGCCATGTCGCGAGTGTTTGAAACAAAAAAACAACAAGTGTCAAAAAGCATTTTGCTACTTGGAACATAGTGTAAACCGTGTTTATACTGTCTTGGAATATGATGTCATTTATCACTACTAACAACTCTGATGTTTTTAGATGAAACAATTATTTTCAAATTAACCCAAGGTTATTGTTTCAATACAAGTTTACAGCGTCCCACCTGGAGACATAACATTGATTTTCATCATTTAAAAACTCTATTTTTTAACAACAATCGATCTCTATAACTAGCTAACCGCAATAAAACGTCCTCATGATTCAAAAGGAAAAAGGAAACCCGTCGACCACCCTCTTTACAAATTACTGCTGTACATGATGTATCGTTGCCATGTGATCGAGCTTTTACTATCGTCTTTGTACGTGGAGTCTTGTCAGTAAAACGTTTTTGTAATCGCAATTGGCCGAAAATTTCGGTTCAATCTCTGTCCAAAGCACCTACCAGCTGCAATATTTTTCAAGTTCGACTGCTTTTGTATTTATTTATAAGCTGGAAAGGAAAATACTATCACTGGCTAAAAGAAAACTGATCTATTGAGTAACCTTCCGCGTGTATAGAGCAAGGAGGGGATTTCAAGATTGTAAAGAAGACCAATTATTTGTCACACGATGATGTTCATAGTGGTCGATTTTAATGGATGCAAAAAAGGAAATTTTCAGCCTTGTCAAGCCCTTCCATATCTGCAGGTAGCAAGATGAATCATCTGTTACTATGCACTCATTGCTCTTCCAAGTTCTCTACTTCCTCTGGAAGTTGGAAACTAACTTGGCGTCGAAGACAACCTTGAGCAGCGCTCCCCTAAAAAGATTTTTCGAAAAAAAGCAAAAATGTAGCTAAATAAAGTAGGAAAAACGGAAAGCTGTATGCATAATATGGTGACTTAACCTACCATTCCCGCTTACGTACATAATCAACCGAACGAAACCACACGACGCAAACTCGACATTTACTTCCATGTGTTTGTTAATAAGTATGTCCGGCGTTTTGATAACAATCCCTTTACTCGAAAACGTTAAACAATTTAACAAGCCTTACTCAGGCTTCCAGGCAGAGAATTGTGTTCCACGTAATCCACCCTCAACAACATCTTTATTTTCTACCTATAGGCATCCCTCATCGCAAACACAGAAGTCCCATTCCCTTGCTCGTCGCCAACAAGTGGTGGAACAAGGGAACTACTTAGAAATTACGTGGAATTAACTCCTGGAACATGGGAATTACAAGGCATGGTGGAATAAGGGTTTACAGTTAAGTCTGATTACTGAGGAGGAAGTTACATGCAACAGGGCAAGGAACTACTCAAACAAAGCAACAAAACATCAAGCACAAAGAAAAATAAATAAACAAAGACAAAAACGTCAACAAAATAAACAAAATAAAATAACCAAACAAAAAAAATGGTTACTGCACAAACCTTTGGCAGTTAAGAGATTAGTGGGTCTTCGTTATTCTAGATAAAGCAAAACTGGTTAACACATGCATGACTGAGTTTTTAAAGGACCAGGAACTGTTTATTGAGTGCAAGGCAGGTACTATATAGATACATCCAATCCGCGTTCTCTGGCTTTTGGTTCTCATGCTTTTTAATTCGTCCAGTGAGTACATCCGAGTGAGAACAGTCTTGAATAAAAACTGTTGCTGACAAAAGAAGAACTAATGTTTCATGAAAGCTTCTCAGCTTGTCGAAGTGTCAATCATCATCCACAACGGTCAATTTCAAGATAATCCTCGCCTGGACATACCGCACAAGGAAAGAATTACTGACTACCCAGATAGGTTTTAAAAACACTTTAAGTAGATTATAGTAATAGAGATATTAGTGACCGGGCGAACAACAAGTTCTGACAGTCCCTTGTAAGGCAATCAAGCATTATTAGTCAGGCAAACATATAGTGACTTAGTGCCGCAGAGAAACACTCTGGTGGTTGACAATCAAGTCTGGCGGACAAACGGAAATAACGCACTATTTGAACTAAAACTTAGTCGAGGTTGTGTAGATTGAATTACAGTTCTCCACACACATACACACACAAAAAACAATGTAAACTTCACATAGTGCAATTTTAAAATTCTGCTTCACACTAGCAAAATTAAAACATCTTATTAGGCTCATATCGTCACGATCTTACTATGTCGATATAACAGTATACATGAACCTTTTCTCATTGAACCGTTGTGTCGCTCGTGTGGGCTAGGTTTAAATAACACCCTTAATATCACTCTAAACTGGAATACACCTGAAGTTTATTAAAGAGAATTTAATGAAATATAGAAGAGTTCCAATGGGAAAAGAAGAGTTTAAAACAAGATAAGAATTTATTATTTTTCAATGTTTAACAAATCATAAATAACAGCGGACCAGCCAGCTTGTAACGGCACCGAGTTACTAAGGAAGAAATTTAAGGTGAATTCTCACATTAAGCAGTTGTTCAGTTCAATTAATTGGTGCTTTAGTTTGCGGTTTTGAAAGAATCTATTGATACGATTAAATAATCCTACATATGGGTGACATCTTCAATTAGCAATTTGTAGCATAAGGATTTAGGTGCAAAGCAATCCGTAGGTTCAATAATAGATGTGTTTTTTTATATATAATCGAAGTAACGTGAGGAATCTTAAATTGTGTTAATAGTTTAGAGGGTCTCGGTTTTCTGAAATTACGAGGTGTATATTAGAAATTTGATTATCGAATTGCTTTCAACAAACGACAAGCTTTGTTTCATGCTTGAGGTAACAGGACGTCCTTGTTAAACAGACGCTATGGGCAGTGGAACAATTCCCACATGTTTAACTTTGCAAAATGGACGTTAAGGAAAAATTCGTCAGAAACGTTAGGAATTATTGACATGAATAAATAAAGACCGATTAACCTTTTTATCACGATTAGTTTGGTTTAGCATCTAATTAAACCATCGAGACAGTCACCATTGATGAGTTTTAGACTACACGTTTCTTCATACTATTTGAAATATCTAACATTTATCTAAACAAGCGTATCGACAATTATATTTTAAGTATATCAACCAGCGCATTTTACCAGCACCCTGCCTATGTTTCCTCACAAGTACAGACACGCCTTACACACGAACACAAAGCCCCCACACAGGTTAATCAGGTTAAGCTTGTTAACCTACAGTTCATCTTTTCTCCCATAATTCTACCAAGCAATTACCGTAGACCATGTTTATTCTTTTATTCTTGTTACATAGCATATCTTCATCCCATTTACTTCTAACTCTCTCCTAAAATATTCTCACCAGCTTTTTCACATTCAAAAAAATACATCGTAATAATATTTGCAACGTGAAACTGTTGAACAAAATTCCATTGAATAAATTCCTCGATAGAAAAGACACGTAAGAAAACGACGGAAATCTACAATTTGCATTTATTTTCTGAGAAATAAGTCTATGTATCATTTATTGTCGCGCCCGCATTGTGTACTATTTGTACAAATTTTGAATTATCCTGGCCTGTAGTTTCTTCCGCACTTTTCTCTTTGACATCATTTGAGGATACGTGTATTTCACTAGGTGCCGCCGATGCTGGCTGTTCAGCGGTATCACTGCGCGTTTGTGGACTGGGTTCTTTACTTACAGTCTCCTGAGTGACTGCAGATGCTGTTTGAGACTCGGAAAAGTTCGATTCCTCCGCTTCTGTTAATGAAATTTCGTGAGGATCTGAAAAACACAATTTGAATTGTGCCATTGTATAGTTCAGTGATGAATCACCATTGGTTATACATCATCATTTGAATTCTAACATATTTCTCAATATTTTCTATCATCTATTTTGAGTGCTACGGAGCAAATGACATGTACCAAGTATTTTGATAGCACGTAATAGATGATGCTTGACCAAATGGAACTAACACTGTTTCGCCACGCAAAAAAACTCCAAAAAAGACAGAAAAGCAAGATATCTAGAATCCTAAAGCACATCGCTCCCTTGTACATTTTGTATTTCATTAAACTGCGCAATTGTCTTTTTCCTTCGCAAAATTTACGTGACTACAAAAACAGTTGACGAAGATACGTCAAGTTTTCTCTGTGGTTTTCCCGCCATCATGATTTCCGCGATTAAATTGATTGTATAGTTCAGCGGATACTCGCATGAGTATGCGCGCGATGCCCTCCTGCCTGCTTTCAACTTATTCACCGCGGGTTTCTAATATCAGTAACGTTATTAGTAGTAGAATTTAACGAAGCTTTGTTCACAGAATCGACATTCCGATACTTACCAACTACGACGACTTTTTTCTCAGCTGTAGCAGTCTCGTCAGGCGCCGCCGCCGTGTGGCTGCTGTGTGCAGTAACCATGATCTTTTTGAGGCTACTTCCTTCAATATTTTTATCAGCTTCCGTAAATGATCTCGATCGTCCTTTGTCAGACGTCATACTATCACCGGTAAGTGTTCTTTCTCGTTGATTTCGGTCCTGTTCTGTCATTGATCGCACACGATTTACTGAACTTCCTACATTACGCTTTCTTGGAGACGTTTTGACTGAAAAATAGAAATGCAATCATTTATGAGCTGATTAACATGTCGGGCTTTTGGCTGTAGGTATTAACACTTGTTCAGGCTTTTGCCTGTAGGTATAACACTTGTGTAGACTGGTGGTTGGATGTGTAACAATTGTGCAGACTGGTAACTGTAGGTATCAAATCAACACAGGCGTAATAATAACGCTTGTTCAAAGTCAGAGGATTATTTACAAAACATGGCGCCATTGAAGGTTAACGCGGTAATACCTTCACTATGGAGGGCGCCTACCAAAATACAAAGGTCTTTCGCCCGAATTAGGACTATGTGAAAAAAAGACCTCAGCAAGGGCTGTTGAAATCCAAGAAGAAAACTGGGGGTAGCCACGCATTTCTTCAAAAATATTTAGCCTTGAATCTCAGACAAAAATGCTGACGTTGGCATTGTTTCTGAAATTAGCGAAAAAATATTTCTCCATAGTTTTTCTTAGAATTTGCGTTGGTTTACACAGAACCAAACAGCACCATTAGCGTCCCTAATAGTTCGCCTCTGACTTAGCAAAATTAATGCTGCATACAACCAAAAACTAATCACGTGTTTGTTTGACTGACTGACTGTATTGTACTGATTGATTTACGGACGGACGGACGGACGGACTAACTAACTGCCTGATTGACTGGTAAGTTTAAGAATGAAAAACATACCTGTGGCTTTCTTGAAAACGTGTGCAGACATGAATTCTTGAAATCTTGTGCAGTAAAATGACGGTCTGTGAACAGAGACAGTGTCCTGCAAACAAGAAAATCAACCAAATGAGCTTACTACATGTGTGTTGTTTATTGACTAATAATATACAAGCAAATATTTCAGCATGCTGTTTGGCTGAGAGCACGCCAATTAATCCCAACAAGTGCAGAAATTTGAAATCCAGTGCAAAACGTTGAAATTGAGTGCAAAAAGTTGAAACTAAATTGCATGTGCTGTATATTACTGACAAGAAAATAAGCACTCGTAAATTTTTCAAAGACTAAAAATTTATTTGTCCTCACTTATTCTAAAATAAAATTGCCCTCGAAATTATTTTATTACCTGTACAAATTCACACACAACTCACCCCATCATGAACAAGAGCTTTCCAACCGTGTTCAAGTTTCTTTACTATTCTAATGACAAATAAAAGATTTCCAATTATAATTATGCAAATTACAAGAAAATCAGGCCAAGTCAAATCAAGTTCTTTGACTTACGAAGAGCGTTTGTTGTGCAACAATTTTAAGGGTCATTAACTTACCTGTAACTTTGTAAGATATCTATAATTCCCATAAACAAAAGTAACCGCTCGCCTTTGGCGTTACGAGCTGGAATGCCTCCCACCCTGCAACAAAAGTAAAGGAACATTATCACGCAACTACTTCAAATGGTTCAAATTTATACTAGTTGAATCAAGAGCATTAGTGACACTACAGTCATCAAACAGATCAGTACTCAGTTGTCATGGCCATTGACGCTGTGAGCTTGGGACAGGTTACACAGGTTAGAGAAGAAATCGGTCTACTTACGGTCTTTCCTCTGTTTCATCTCCTACAGTGATTGCTTCCCATGCTGAGCTGAAGCCTTCCCTTCCTTTCAGACTCCGTGCACGTGTTAGAGGCATTCGACCACCCTCTGAATAAAAACCAAACTGTGTATTACTTACCACCTCTGGAGGTCAGATCCCTTTGTAACCAATTACTTCGAGGTAAAATTGAGGGGGGAGGTCAGGGAAACATATTTTGTTTGCAAGCATATGAAACTCTAATTTCATACATACTGCTTACCGCAATGTTTGATCTCTAATCTTTAAAACATTTTGATAAAAACTTGTTGAAAATTATAACTAGCTGATTAACAGTAGATGTTTTCAAAGAATCATATTAGCGCCACAATGGAAATTTGTACTCTACCAGGGGCTACCGGTACTTGGTATTGGAAATGAGCTTGTCAGTATTACTGTAAGCTAGCAGGACACATTTAGGTTACAAGGTACACACAAAGCTGTTGGTATTGCCATTAATAATCATAACAAAGGCACGAACACTGAATCCAACCTGGGCTGCCTGCTCTAGTATCCTCATCAGGAGAGAAGGGAAGCTGCCCTGATGGCGTCTCCGCTATGCTTGGTCTGTCAGTTGCCGGCTCACTGTTAGATCGCTTGTATCTTGGTACACCACCACTAGTCTCTTCTACTTTATGAATTGCAAGAAGAAGACTGTAATCCATGATCTTAAAACTTTGTAACACCTAAAATGAGCAAATAGAATTCTAAACGGTTGGTACACTGAAGCAGTTACAGAAGACCAAGAATTTCCAGTTTATTCAAACATTGTTTTGTTTGTTTTGTACTTCTAGGTAGAGTCAAATCTGTATTAAGCAGACACCCATGGGACCCTCACTAGTGTCAATTCTAAACAGGGTCAGCAATAATAGTAACAACAAAATTATTAATTAAAGATTGCACATAACACTTGCACAAGCACTGCTCATTAAAGACAAACATGGTACAGGTAATTAATCTCCTGGATCAACAGATCAAGGTATACTGCAAGTTGAAAAAGGAGTGGAGGAGTTGTAAAGAATGGCAGCATATGAACAATAGATGTACCACGTTTGAGAATATTTGCTAAAATTGTTAATCTTGATGCATTGGAAGCCTAAAGGTGACACTCAAAAGCAATGCACTGATTGACAGAAACTATAACTTACTCTACAATCCTTTTGGATTGTCCTCATTACAGCATTGTAAGTTTCCGGTTCAAGAAAAAGGCCCTGTGAACATGAGAACAGGACTCTGTGACAAACATCAGCAAAATGCGTGTAAACAACCTTGAACTACATCTGACTGACACATAAAAATCAAAATAAGCTATTAAAAATATTATCAGAAAGTCTGAAGTTATTCTACAATGATCAGGCTGTTACCTCTGGATGATCATTCAAGAAGTCCAAGTCTTTTAATGTTGGCGTTTCCTTTGCTCTTTCGGCTTTTGAAGCTTTTCTTTTATAGGTTGAACCCTGTTAAAAAGTATATAACTCAAATGTTAGAACTACATTGCAAATCATGGATGGCATCTCACTTAAAATGTTGAATGTTTCAAGTCTATTGTTCATTTCTGTCATACATGAACATCTTGTTTATTTCACCATTTTCAGATCTTTAATGGCATTAACAGTCGGGTTTTTAATGTGCACATGCTGATGTTAATTTAGTAATGTTAAACTTTAATGAAAGAAATAAGGCAGAGTGAAACAACTGGAAAAAAGAAAACACCAACCATTAGGGGTGTCCTGTACAATCCACTGTGAGGTACATTTGACAATAAACCAGTGACAAATCCAGTAAGTGCTTACCTTAAGATCATATTTGAAATGTATTTTGTATCCCAGAGGTAAGAGGTTGTTCATTATTACTAATCTGATGTTCTTTCCTCCACACTGTTGAAATATAAATAAACAGTTTCATATTTCTCATCAACATTAGCAATTTACCATGACTTCAGAGAGTCATAAACGAATCATTAAGTACTGTGGTAGAAGTCGCAGCCATTACCTGGTAACAGTACAAACCAAAAAACTTTGGCAACAGAGTTCTCTTGTTCTGATTCAAATTCTGAAAGAAAGTGAAGGAAATGCATTGTAACTAACAATCATTTAGTGTTTAGTACCTATCAGGTGAAAGTGCTGTAGCAAGTTGTATTTTGGTAACAACAGCTATGCAGAATGAAACAGGAAACATCTCCAAAGCCAATAATAAGGGGGGTTACATGCACATGTACTTCACTTGTTTACTCTATTTGCCCCCAGCCAGGACACCTCTCTAAGGCAGACAGTTTGATCAGAATTCATTATTCAATGCGTCTAAGGTCAATTAACTTACTAAATAGTAGCCCGGTAACAATTTCTGGAGAAATTCAGCCTCCTTGTGTTGCACGGTCTTGACAATAAATTCATCGTCATTTGTAACATAAAATAAGGAACCACTTGCTCCTGAATTGGCCAGTTCCACCAGTGGTTCATTACACAGAGCCATCTTCAATAAAAGAAAAAATATACAGTACAAGAACCGGTCAGTTGCTGTCAGATACATGTATTTACATTAACTGGTGATGCACTTCCTTAATCAATAAAGATAACATGACACTGAGATTTTAATTAAACAGCTGTACTTAACATGTCATTAGTCATCATTAAATTTGCTCACAATCTTGACTGACAGAGCATAATTGATGTTGGCAAACATGGGGCATATCACAGATATCCTTCCCGAGCATATCACTTTGAAATAGGAGCTTCTACGGCCACCCTGTTAATATGGCCCAATTATCATGGCCTGTTGGTGAATGCATTAACAGGGTTCTACTGTACTCAGCTATAAATATTTCAATCCAAAAAGTCAATAATACAGAGATGATGTCTGCTAAATGTCAAATCAATAGCTGCAATACTCGAGTTATGCTCATTACAGAGCATGTATGGGAATGCTGATACAGAGAATGTATGGGTCACATTGCACATAACTGTAAATTTTTTTGATTATTATATTTATTTAATAACCAAAATAAATTTAAAATGACAGTTTTAATACCAGTCATATAGGAATATCTTTCATAAAATATCAGAAAAAAACGTCTAATATTATTTTGCCTGAGCTATACTAATTATTTCATATCATTTAATTATTTATTTTTTTAATAAATTTATATATTTCATACATTGTTTATAAAATTATTTAATTTCTCAATTCAGCTCTACAGAAACTCAGAGACTGAAAGAGTACTGCAGGGTACAATGAACACTAACCCTAGCACACATCAGTAGACATGTAGATGAAGATGTCTGTGTGAGCCTCCTCCCCTTTATGGGTTTGTCTTTACATACATTTATGTATGTCATTACCAGGCAAAAAAACTCAACTCTAAAGAATGCATGACAGCTGAATTGAACACAGACATCACACAGGATGACAGTCAAGAAAAACAAAACCAATATCAAATCTTAGTTTTCTCTTACCATAAATTCAGCTGGATTCATTACAAATAGATCACGAAAATACCTATAAATGACACTGACAATTAATACAACATGTTTAATTTACATAGTACATATTCATTTAGTGCTCGTCAAAGTAATTTCATTCAATTTTAAGCATGAAAAGCAAGTTTCAACCTTATGGTAGATTTTATGACAGCTTTGTACACACACATGTAGGGTCTAGTCAATGAGTATTAAATAAGTACCAATAGATAAATTACAAAGTTAACATCTTTTCTATAATTTCACATGATGGAAACACCATAAGCTCACCTACCTAAAAGCGACTGGAGAATACGTTTTGAATTTAAAATCACTAAAGCGATGGGATGGAGTCTCTCTTGATCCCTCACTGTCAAACAAACAAGATTTCTTTATTGTGAAGAAAGCTTTCTCTTGAACAAATAATTAAATAAATGCCAAATTAAAAGTGCCAAGTGTACTGCATATGATTTGCCTACATGTGGTAGTATTTACAGAAGTAAACAAAAAGTGGTTCTGAGATTAACTAATGGTTAACAATGTCGGTATGCATTTGGTGTACTTCCCATAAAATTAAAGGTTACAATGATTGCCATCAATAAAATGAGCTGTGGTCAATGATCTTGCAGACTGAAGAAATGTTTCCCCAAATTCTCCAACATTTAACAATTCCCTGGTACAAAAAATGGTAACACTGTTGATAAAAGACAATTATGGTGATTTGGAATAACCATGAAAGAAAATTACACCAGTTGTCTTTAAAAACATCTATGTATTGTTTGTTTGCCTGCAGTGAAAAAGGAATTGGAAAACAAGAAAGAAATGCTGGGCCAAAGTCGGTAACAACAAACAAAGAAAACCTTATTAACAGCATACTTAGGATATTTATTTTATTTAAGAAATAGAAAACATGTACCGTGTTTCTATCGAGTTACTGAAATACGAGTGGGAGTTTGGGAGAAAGAGAAATGCTGTGGGAATACGAGCCGTAGGCAAGTGTTTCCACAGCTTTTTCGAGTTCTCCAAAACTTTCACGAGTGTTTCTATAACTAGATAGAAACACAGAGAACATGTTTTCTATTTCTTTTAGAAAACAACGCGATGAAAAAAAGGAAAACAACTTGTTAACGTTGATTATCAAAATGTAAATTCTCCTTGCTCGCGTCATTATTATGTCAACAGCTCATGCTAGTTCTGTGTTTCAATCGAGTTATAGAAACACGATTTTTAACCAATCAGCACATGTATTTTCTTCGTACTGTTTTCTAAAATGAAATTTAATATAAAAAGGAAAATATCTCTTACTGTAAACCAAATTCACCTTGGAAATGTGACAGTCTCTACTTCAGCAAAATCTTGCATAAGAACATCACGTTCTGGTTTGGCTGACAACCTTCCAACCTTTAACAAAACACAGCGTGTACCATAATTACTTTGTTTCTTGCACACAACTAGGAGCCATGCCCAGCTGAACCACACAGCCTGACCTTTACTACAAAACATTAAAATAGTACTAGAAAGCAACAAATATCCAAAATGGCTTCACAATCTTGAACACAAAGAGAGATTAAACGGCCTTGAGAAGCCAAAAATCTATCATCTGATGCTTTAAGGGTGGGTGGTTGGGAAGTCAGATGATGGCAAATAGCAACAAGACGACTGGTAAACAATGACAAATCATATGACCTGACTCCCTGCAGACTAGCACCCAGACTCCCAGATGTAATACTTCAATAGTAATAATATTTATACTGTGCAAAATCCATGCAATGTTCAAATGCACGTGAATAAAGCATTTTCCCCTTCTTTCATTCCTCAGCCAGCAGAAAACAACACTTTCTGTTTTATAACAAAAGGATGTACATGTACCTCCAGTATTATGTCTATCTGAACAATCATGTAATAAGTTACTCACTGTATATCCAATCCCCAATTGAATAGCTGACATAAGTGCTGATGATGGAGTCTGGGGATTTATTAACAAACAACAATTAAAATATTATGAATCATTTCTACCCTGAAATCAAAAGGCTCTTTTAGCCCTGCTTTTACCACAGAATTTGTTTCACTTAAAATTTGAATTAAATACAGTTGAACCTCCCATCATGACAACTTCTCCTCAGCGACCAGTTTCCAAAATACCAAAAGTTTCCAATTCAAATCACTACATTTGGAAACTCTTGTAAGTGTCCACCTCTCGTAAGGAACCGTGACCACTTTTTGAGGGCTCTTAAAGTTTAGCATTTTCTTTTGTCTTGTAAGTGACCACTTGAAAGATAACATGTAGTGTTCCAGATAAGTAGGGGATCTCAGGTCAAAAACTTTACAAGGTCAGCTACATGACCTGACAAATTAATAGAAAGTTTATAATGGTATGGTTGGAGCAGTGGGAATTGACCTGTTCAAATTCCGTGTTGACACCCAACCTTGAAAACTTATCTTGAACCCTGTAATAGCATGGACATTGGATATTAATAAGGTCTTGTAACATTATTGCATTCCTGAGTAGTACAAAAGACCAAAATTTCTAAATGGCAAGTACCAGATTTTTTCTCGACATTGACTTTTCACATGAACAAAACATTTAAACAATGAGGTAGGTCTCCAGTTACCATGTGCTAATGAGACAAATTTTGACCCAATATGGTGTAAGCTCTTGCAAGCAACCATCTCCCATAAGCGACCACCTAGGCTTGACATTTTGGGTGGTCGCTTACGGGAGGCTTGACTGTATTAAGTTTAGTTTGAAAATTCGCTTCCAAATATGTGTATATTTAACTTGAACTGATCCAATAAACTTTATTGGGAAAGAAGTAAAAAAAAAAAAAAGAAAGAAAGAAAGAAAGGAAAGATAATAATTCCCAGAAAGGAAAGTGCAAATGGGACAAGAGTACCCATGCAAGATAAAGATAAGCTATTTACAGGACATATAATATCAAGAATAGTCATAAAAAGCTATTTACAATATTTAATATTAAAACTGTAAGAAAAATATAAGGTGAAAAAATTAGTTTCTATGGCAGGAGCAGTCTCTAACTGAAGACCAGGTACAGGGATAGTATTTGACTTAAAAATAGGCTTTTTTTCACACTTACCTTTTTGTATGTTGTTTCTCCAGTCTCGTCCACCCTACGATGTCCAATCTTGGACCGTGGGGTGGGAGGGTTCTTTTCTTTGTCTGTTGATGTGAAAGACTGTGTTCGGGGCATCTTACATAAAAAGGAACAAAATAATGTTTAAATCAATAGTTGATTTTCTGTGAGTGCCTTTGTATCCTGCATGTGAATGTATCCATTTCAAATGCTGGAAACATACCCTTTTCATTTAATAGAAACATTTTTTTCCCACGCAATAAAATCTATTTTGCCTGTTTGTCAAGAGAAGAACACAAAGTGCTAGCCTAAACTACAAAATTCACTAGCCTGAGGTATATGACACAATTTTATTTGCACACTGCATGCTGCTACCTGCTGGACACACATCAATGTTGCACAAAAAGTAATGGAAAAGCAACATAAAATTCACCCTGAAACAACTGCTTTTAACTTCTATGTCCCAAGAATTCTTTTTTTAATTATTCAATTTGAGATTAATGTGAATGCATACTAATTTCATCTTGTTCTCCCTGTGACTCACCTGAACGAGAAATATCCAGGTTTTTCATTTGGAAGTGGTTCACATTTTGGCCCCCTCAAAGATATTTCAGGGGCAAACATTTGACGTCTTCACAAATGACATCCTCGACACAGATGTGTGACACAAGTGCATTTAATTTCAAAACTGAAGCAAGTGGTGTCGCACTTTTTTGTGTGTGTGGTTTAAGTTGTGGCTTTGGTGTGGAGGTAATTTCATTTTTTTTTTCTCAAATCACAAGCCTGCAAATAACAGTCGGTCATCGGACAATTGTCCGGTAAATTTGAGGTTTTGACAGGTAAAAGCTTAGCCTAGTCGGACACCCTGACCGGGCATTTCTGCCAAAATGAAAAATATTTTAACTGGAAATTTGTGGCCGAATATGGGACAAGTTATTTTGTTATACTGCCACACAATACTANGTGTAATTACTCGTTGTTTGTTGCCACCAAGTGTTGTGGAATTAATTTTCAGTCGTACATTGACCCAATTAAAATATTATGGAAATTGAATACACGGTCCAAATACTCACGTTTCGTTCATCTGAATGCAATCACTTTCAAAAACTTTAAAGCCTCTAAAACGTAACCAAATGTCTTTCTAGTCCGTATGATTAAAAATCAGTTTAATTTTAAACTCTTTATAGTTTTTTTTTTACGTCTGTCAGTGTGGTTGAAATATAGTTTCTGTACCACAGAAATGTTTTTGTGAAAAGCGTAAATGTACAGATTAGTCACGACAACCTTTTATTCAATTGACCCCAAAAACTTTCAGAGGAAACTTGCTATCAGAAAAAGTCAAAGAATTCATTTCAGCCAATTTTTAAGTCTCTGAATGTTATCGTGGGGTTTTTTACTGACAAGCTGCCCACGTGAGAGATTGTTTCATCACTTTTCCCGTTTTCCTTAGACGTCGTGGGAAACTTGATATGTTGGAAATGCTTGTGTGACTAGGGGTATAAACGTTTGTAAATTTGTCAATTTTCAACAGGTAAAATAATACCAGAAGTAATGTAAAGGTCCCCTTGCTGGTGCTAGTAGCGATTTTACACTCAGTTGACTTTTAAGCTTTTCGAATTTACAACCAATATTTTGGTGAAGAGTCTACTTAACAAACAGATTTCATGTTGCCATGCATCTGTTCAGTAATAGATCACAGATGATGTCAAAATGTGGTAAGAACAAAAAAGTGGCACTGATGTTCAATTGTGCATCTGTCCTCTTATAGATCAAAGGCGAGAACCAATCAAAATGCGAGAACAACTTGGGTTATTATATAACCTCTAATAGATCATAGGTGAGAACCAATCAAAATGCAAGAATAACTTGGGCTATTATATAAACTGAAACACCAAAATGTCTCAAATGTCTCTTTTTAATTTCTGACGACAAACAATTTTTTTTTATCTGACCAGACTGGCTTTTTGTCAGGTCAAAACTTGTCCTTGTCCTGACAAATGACCTGCCTACAGACAAAAATTATTTGCAGGCTTGAATCAGCCATAATATTCAAGAGTCTTTTTATTTACTTAACTTTGCCTAACTAAAATACTAAGCTTATATACAATAAAATTCATTAGGCAGGGAGACCACTACAGCATAGCCAATTACAATGGATCCCAGGGTACTGAGATTTATTTGTGTACCAGTATTGCACTGTCAACTTGGTCAAAGAAATAATAAGGTCATATCCCAAAGATCTTCCCTTATAATTTACACTCAACAAGTCAAATCCTCATGCACATCAAAGCAAAAAGCATTTATAACATTCCCCATCAGACTGCAGCTACACAACATATCTATATTGATCACTCTTCCTAATCTACGAGTACTCCTAGTCATAAATTTACAATATATAAGTGATTACATTTATGCCAAGAAAACTATATATAACCTATCAGAAACAGCAAAAGATACAATGATTGTTACAAATAGAATGGGATTGTCCTTTGACATCTTCTACCTAACCTTAAGCTTCATCATTGTTTTAGTGTAACTTGTTCAAATTCTCCACCCCTCCCATATGCTATGAAAATCCCCACCCCAATAATAAACACTGATACCAGTCCCCCGGGATCATCAATTTACTCTGCCAATCTTCAAGGTATAACGCGGTGATGTTGATTTCTCCATTTGATCAACATTTAATCTATTTCACAATAAAATGTCTTCCCTTCGACAAGTTTACAGCATTTATTTCATTTTTGCCCAGAATGAATGAATGAATGAATGAATGAATGAATGAATGAATGAAAAATCTAGCGCAACGCGTTCAGCTGAGCAAGGAAATAAGCTTACGTTTACATGTGCAGCACATTAATAATCCTCATATTGTGCGAAACAGTAGTATCAGACAACATTGTGGCAACATTGAAGCAGTTATCCAAACAAACTTTCGATAATTATTCGAACTGACTGTAAAAGACCAGAATTAGTAGGGATATACGTCTCTGAACATCCGAAATGTTATTATAATTCCTGGAATTCGAAAATGAAAACACAGATTTAACGCTACCGATAGCATTTTGCATTTAAGCTTATCATATTGCTTCTACTTACCTCTAAAGGCGCTGGTTTAGTCTTTGGCTTAACCGATGAATTTCCCAGCGACACTTTATACGAGCTTGTCCCTTTTGCTAAAAAAGTAAAGCAAGCTTGTTTTGCACTAAGTCAATATATAGCGACGAAACCGACTTGAGCAATTAGCAGCTACATTGTATACGCTCTCAACTCAACGAAAACGTATTTTGGTTATAACTTGCTGCTCTCAAAGAACCAGCCAAGTCGTTTTCAAATACACAAATAATAAGCCAAAGAGAGACAAGAATTACTGATCAATAAATGATGTCCTCTGCATGATCCTACCTGGTTCTAAATTCAGGCTCAATCCTGTCGCCATAAGTCTAACCTTTGTCACATAAGAAGCAAAATACTGCGGTCAAAATATTACCTTCCGTACTCAACGACATGCATGCCACAGATTTACACGAAAATGTTGAAAACGTTGGATTATCTGAAAATTAAACTTCTGTATTATTTCAAGAGGAGGTAAGATCAGGAGATAAATAACATAATTTACACAAAAACACCATCGGAACAGCAAGTTCATAGCTTCTACCGGCACAGCCTGATGGGTAAATCTACTTCATATAGATCAATAACTTGTCGGTTCACCATCGGTAGATCCCGCGAAATTCGATAATGTTCCGAGTAGATTCGGTTATTGGTGGAATCCTCTCTAATATGGCGGACTATAAAGTTAATCAAGTATGAGATATTTTATGAGATCTTTGTCAACTGCGAATGGAACACGTAAACCTCCATGGAAGATATTATTTTTTGGAACAGATCGTTTCGCTGTATACCCTTTGAAGGCTCTGAATGAAAATAAGAGGTAACCTTTTTTAAAACATTCACGCTAGCTCTGCCAAATCAACTTTTATTAACTAAGAATATGATGAACGTAAATATTTGCAGTTCTAAGTACCTGAACTCTAAAACGTCATTTATGAAGTGCTTGAGGTTGTTGTTGTGCTCCATACCCTGAAATCATTAATTTTTTTTTTGATCGCGGGTGTATGTACATTAAATAGGTTCAGCTTTCACCAAGAGCGTTTATTTCTTATTGCATGTAAAAGTAATGCAGAAAGCTGAGCATATGAAGTTATGACTTTGTCAGCTGAAGAGTTGAGGCCCCTAGAACCTTCAAATATACCGGAAAAATATAATGTTCAAAGGGTCCACCCCAGACAGACGTACTGGAGCCGCCAACCCACCTTTACTTGACCTTGATCAAGATCAAAATGGGTTGATGTTTAATCAACTACGCTCGTCTGAAAACCTCTATAGCTCTGGCCCACTGTTGTGCTCATAGTTGTATCATTGATTTACCAACCTACATACCAAAGGAGAAGCATAATTATATATATACCCTACTGTGCATCACACATGTTTTCAGGGTAATGGTTTGTAGTCTCTGCAAAACGTACCCAGATTCTAGAGTATATGATCTGATCAGAAGATCTTTCCACTCCCCCCCCCCCCTCCCCCTCCCCAAATGGCTCCTGCCCCTGCCATTGCAAGGTTGTGTGAGACACACTGATATACCAATGGTATTTTTAGTGCAGAGTGCACTATTAGGATGGTTTGGGGGCTGCTATTCGCTAAGGCACTAATATACTAACACAATATTGCCACAAGGTGTAAACTTTAATGTTTGTTTAATTAATTAATTTCAATTGATCAATTAACCTTGTGGGTAGGGGAGTTGGGTGGGGTAGGTACCCGAGTGCATCATGCAAAACATGTTATCCTTACGTTGCTTAGTTGAAAACATAACAAAACTATATATGTTATCGCAAATCTCATGCTATCCTTGTGGTACTATTATCTTAAGGGCTCATTAACCGATTTATGCACACGCTCGTGCGCGTTGCTAAGGAGGTGAAATTTCACTTCTGGTTACTTACGTCAGCCTGAGCGCAGAAAATCAAAACAACTTAATAACTTCCAAATTCGCTTACATTTTAGATGTTTTTCTTTGTGTTTCACAAAATGTAAAGTAAAAAAAGTACAAGCAAAGACAAAATAACAAAAAGTCAGAAAAACAAGAGCAACAGAAAGAGAAAAACTAACTCCTCGTGGCTTTGTTTGATCTTACCAAAGTGCACTGGTAGTGTGAATTGCACACGCGCTGATAGGGTTTTTCCCAATATATATCGGGCGCACTTCCGGTTTCTTTAAATGCTAAAGGAAACGTGTTTTTTCCTTAAATCCAGCCTTTTTCGATGGATTTCGATTAAAGCCAACGTTGGAAAGATAGCTATGCATTCTTTTTTCAAAATCATGCTTTTTTCAGAAAATTACGCATTTTTTAATATTTTGAAATTCTCTCAAAATCTGATCTTTTAAAAATGAAACAAAATCTATGCATAGTGTAATGAGGATTTAAATTAAAATATTAAATCAATGAAAAAAATCCCGATAAAGTAATTTGCCTGGGAGCCTTTGTGTTTTTTCAGTATTAGTCACATGACCATGGGCGTGGCCTGATGACATCACTAGTGTTACTGATCATGAAAAAGTTAAAACACATGAAATAACTCTGAACTAACCAAAAATGATGAGGTTTTATGAGAATAGATTTTCCTTAGCAACAGCTCGAAAAGATCGGTTAATGGGCCCTTAAGAACAAAGGCAATTCGCTCAAAACACACACACAGATTAGTTAGGGTCAGTGTCGACTATGTGTTATGTGAAAGATACATTTCATACAGGATCACATGCAAACGTAGAGTGCATTTCCTTGTGGTAGAACACAACATGTAAGGCGCATGCACTCATTCTCGAGTTCAGATATGTGCGTTCTTGGGGGATAGCAGCTATATTTCAGGTAACATCAGTTATCCCTGTATTAGTGCAAAGAACATTACCGTGACTGCTTATTGTCTGTGTCTGCCATTTTATAACTATTGTGTGTTTGCCAGGGTTCAAATATAGAATGGAAACATATTGCTTCTCCTTAGCAGCGTGTTTATTTCCTCTTCTACAAGGGGAGCAAAAAGTTCACATTCATCCGAAACTTTCCCGCATTAGTTACATGTAAAACTATTAAATTTGTGACAGAAGAAACTTCGCAGTTATTGCTGCAGACATGTGGCACTTACTGAAACCACCAATTATTTTCATTGGTCTTTGAGGTGTCTCGCTCCCTGATGTGGGGTATAATTTCAGCCAAGTAACGATCTCCACCTTCAATACTTCTCGTTGAAATGCTCCTCTGTTGTATTAATCAAAAGCATAGTGTATTAGTATGACGTGAATAAGAATGCACTTTTCCATAACTTGACGTGACTATTTGATAATTAGATTTAGTTCTTGTTTATCAGTGAAATGAAAATTTGTGCTTAGAATAAAGTAACATCGGTCCTCTTGAAATTTTCATCACATCTGTTACTTTATGCCATTTATCTCCAGCAGTGAGTAAAAAATACTCATCTATTCTTATATTTTCGAGGTAACAAGGGTGTCATGCTGCATACCTTGGTGAGGAAAACAAAAGTATCGAGTTACAAACGTTGGCATTAAAAGTAAAATTGTCACATTTTCTACTTGTACACACATGTATTATTGAATTTAAAATGAATGAAACTCAAAGTAAAACACTATGTACAATAAAATTCAAAACCGTCTTGACAAATGGTAATTGTAAGTTATTTTTGGGCCTTGAAAGAAAAGACAAACATGAAACATACACACTGCCAAGATTATGCCTTGTCACGTTTTTGTCCACTCATACTCTGCAAAGGGGAAAAGGCCTAGTTGACTGACTACCAAGGGAGAGAACAGCAGGGGTGAGGACCTGTGTGACTACTGTATCAGAGCTGTAAATTGCCCCCTGCACTATCTGAGATTGTCTCACTAGTTTGTTTGTTATAGGACTTCAGGCTCTGTTGTGAAACTGATTGATGTTGTGTGTCCTCCTGAGAGAAGAAGAGTTAGCAAGGTATGTTACCTATAGATACAGCTGCCTAGTTTAACTATTGGTAACCTAAATATTGTATAACCAAATGATACATCTCTGTGTGGGTTATTGTCTATTGGAGATGTCTGTTGTTTTCAGTTTGTAGCGTTCACAGGGAGATCTGAGGAACATCATAGAAAAGTATCAGTTATTATAGCCATATGCAATAGTTGTGCGAAAGGTTTACTTACATTAAATATGGTTGGAAAAGTATACTCCTGTCTCCAGTTTATAAACTCATCATCAACAGGTGCACTTTTGAATGGCTGCCTAGTTCTTTGAGCCGGGCAGAGCTCTGAAATGGTAGGAACGAATCCATGGCATCCCCGTGAACTGCAGCCACTGTGCACCAGCACACTGATAATTTGAGTCAATGGAATACTTATCTAACATTCGCTAAGACAAAGATAGAGTGAGAGCAACAAACTGCAGATGACTGCATGCTTAACAACTCCTGAAAGCCATTTGGCATGCATTCCTTGTTTTTGGAAGCAATGACACTGAAACAGACTAACAAAAAAGAAATGACTCATACTGTATTTGTTATATACAAGGTGCCCCTTTTAGAGCTACAGGACCACTGTCTAGAGAATGGGAAGGCGACTGGATGATTAACCACATTTGATAAAATGTCCCTCAGAAGAGCAAATGGACAGTCTTGATTGAGATGCTAATCTATATAATCAAGTAAAATTATTAGAGATTGTAATTGTGAGACAGCTTTGATAAATATTATTACGCACTTGTCAAATTACAACTGAAGTTATTATCAAGTTAATTTTTCTGCAATTGTTATCCACTAGAAAGCTTTGAATGGTGATACTATAGACACTGCAAGAGAGTTCTCTATCAAACATGACATTCCAATACACTACTGGCATGGTAAGGATGGATGGGAACCTAATCAGGGGTAAGCCCTATAAATAACTTCTGGTGCACAAAAAAAAAAATTATGTGTTTGGCATGATTTTGGTCATCTTTAGTTAGTAAGTGACTAATAAGCTCTTCTCTTTCCTTTAGACCTCCAGGCCCATATGACATTGCTGTAGTTGCATCTTTTGGCTATTTGATACCTAACCATGTCCTGGACTTGTTTCCTTGGTAAAGAAAAAGAGTTCACACTGACACTTTTTTTAGTTCTGGAAAAGACCAAAAGTCCTGTGTGCCTGCTCCATTTGTTTGTTAACATTTTTCCCTTTTAGGTTTGGATATAAAATAATTATTGGACTGTTAATACATAGCACATTATCAGTAATTGGTTCAGATTGCCAGTGTTCTAATCCCTCCTTGGTCCATTCCTACATTCAGAGCTTCAGTGAGAGAACTTAATTTTGATAGCTGGAAGGTACGACTTTCTTGACATGTGATCATCCTTTTTTTTTTCCAGTGGTGCCATAAACATTCATCCATCTCTCCTGCCACAGTGGAAAGGAGCTGCTCCAATGTCACATGCAATTTTAAGTGGAGCAAAGGAGACTGGGGTCTCCATAGTTGAAGTCTCAAGAGACAGGTCAAGTAATCTCTAATAGTATGAAAACTTAGCTAAAATGAAGAGTAAAAATCGAAATTGTATTTTCCTGAAATCTATGCTGACTGTGAGGAAACTCAAGCTTGAACAGAGCAATAATTGTACTTGGTAAAGCAGAGGTGGATCCAGAATTCTTCAAGGGGACTGGCTGGTGTGTACCTTGGGGTTGCAGAACAGCCCTGACCCAGAATCTTGCAATTTGAGGTTTTTAACCTAATTGAAAACTGCTACACCAGAAATAATAAAAATGCCACGAAGTAGAAATTACAATGAAGTACCTGTCCTGAGTGTTTGCCTTTATTTCAATTTTTGCTTTTTTTGTTTCTCCAGAATTAGGGAGGGGGGGATGGTTAGGTGGCTAACCACCCTGAATCCACCCCCTCCTAAATCTGCCCGTAAACATGCATGTACATGTACACGTAGTTAAATCGTCAGTTGAAAATTATTGAAAGAGTCAACTGGCTGTGAGCAGAATTTTTTATCCAGACAATAACTTTTTTGTTAACAACAACAACAACTTTATTATTTATTTGCCATTTGACTTTTAACTTGTAGATTTGATGCTGGAGTGAGTTTACTTCAAGAAACTTACAAGGTTTGGAAATTGATTGAACCATATCTTTTTAAAAGAAATCTTCAATAATAATTCATTTTCCTTATTGAAAGAGTGAATGTTTATTATTCAAAGATTCCAGAAGATATTATGTATGATGATCTTTCAGATGAGCTTGCCACCCTTGGAACAAAAATGGTGAGTATACTGAGTAATTAATAGCAATTATTTTACATAAAGCCTTTGTTAGCATTATTTACATGTAATGAAAATACCGGAATGCTTAAATCAATAAATTATACAGCAATTTAATTTTGCCAGTCAGTCTTTGACATATTTTCAATGGCGGGTTGCCATTGGTCTATAGTCAGCCACTTTATTACAAGTTCTGGAGCAGACAACATGAACTAAATCCTGTTCTGTGATGTTTGGTTAGACAGCCAGAAAAAAAATCATTGATTTCTTTACTTGGTATTAGTTACATTCTGGTTTACACAATTTCCTTTTGGTTTGACATTACTGTAGCAGTGAAAAGCAGCTTATTTGTGAGCTGTTGTTTCACATCCCACAAAAATACTGAAACAAGTGTTTATAGCCTTGTTATAACAAAGTTCTGAAGTACAGAATTTGCCATTTGAAGTCATTTCGCAGCCTGGTATGGACATTTCACTGAGTAACAATGTGCTTGTAAAAACTTTTCATTTGTGTTAGTTTATGCTGTGTGCACTGTGATTGGCCAATTTAGCGGGCCATATTCTACTCTTCGACACGCTAATTTTGAAACTGATTGTCTTACCTTTGTGAATAAACCAAGTTGTGATTACAGGTTGACTTGACGTTATGAATAAACGGACAAAACTTTCTCATTTCCGTAAAATTTTGACGAAAGGTATTAAAATGTACTAACTCGTTTTGTGTTTGGCAAATGTCAGTCATTTGAAGCCGTCTTGAGTAAATTGAAATGGCTTCCCAAACCCGTAAGACACGGAAGCGATCTATAAAAAATACTTTATTTTTCACTAACCTCGTCTTCTCGGTCTGTTCTGTGAGTTACGGATCCTAGATTTTTCGCCCTGGATTTATGGCCCTACATCGAAGAGGAAAAAACTCGGTTCGTACCAGTACAGTGGACTTCACAATGCCATGTTATTTTACATTTGTAGTTGATGTACACTCTTGAGAATCTGGAGTCATTGCGGGAAAATCCTGTGAAGCCAGTTAGACAAATGAAAGCCAGCTGGGGTAAGTTAGTGGAACCACTTTGATCGATGAAGTAAGCTCAGTTGAATTCTTCCCTGCCCCCTTCCACGAAATATGTACTAAATGCAAAATACGTTTCCGGCAGAAAAAAAGAAGATTTTGACGAAAACTCCAAGAATCGATGAAAAAATTGTAAAAGGGAAACAAAGGGGCTGAAACTGTTAAGAAAAAAACATAAAAAAATCCTTAAACTTAAATTGATTCTAGCTTTGAATATAGCATATATTTCTCCACCTAAGAACAGATTTTATAAATTTAGGCCCCGCCCACAGTACGCAGGAGTTTCACTCTGAAAAGGCAGAAAATGTTTTCCGTCCACACTAACCCGGTGGAATTTTAAAACGCAACAACAACTGGTCATTTTACATTTGAATTTGAGCAAAACTCGGTGAAGGAAATCACACGATTATCGCGGCGCCATCGTTTTCGAAAACCTCCGTTTTCAAAATGTTTTCTTTCCACACTAAAACGAAGAGCCAGCGTTTTCAAATTCCTCCGGTTTGAAGAGCGTTTTCGAAAAGCTCCGTTTTCGTGACGGATTAGTGTGGACGGTAGGCCTAACCGTAGAAATAAAGCTGCGTTTTCAAATTCCTCTGGCGCAGGGTGGACGTTGCCTTAGTTATGAAGAATTGGTCCCGTGAAGAATATTGCCAAGTCATGAACTGCTCAAACACTGTCCTTTTCCTTGTGGTGAGCACTATTAAATTCGTTTGCTTTCTCTTTCTTCAATCTGCCTTGTGTGATTTGTAACAGCTCGTCGCCTTACTAAAGAGGTTGGTTACATTGACTGGACGTATCACACTTGGTCTTATATCAGAAGACGATGGAATGCCCTCTCTTCCAGAGTAAGAACTTTAAAATTAGTTTTCAAAAAATTTAGTTTCCTCTGGGAGTCCCTATTTTTTCAGAACTGCGTTAATTGTAATTCTCTGCTCGAAGGTATTTATTGCAAACGAAGAACTTGAAAATTTCAAGATGCGCAATGATGTGTTGAAATTTCACAGATTATGTTTTACCTGTGAATTGATTGGTTCATGTAGAACGTAGGCCCCGGATGAAAAGTACTTGTTAACTTTCTCTGACGAAGGCGGATTTAATAACGCTTAAAACCGCAAACGTCAGCTGTACAAACTCCCTACTAGGCAGGTTAACTTTAATAATAGCAACATTACTTATGACTTATATTACTAAGATCTTATCACCTTCTTCTTGCCAAATTCCTGCGTTTTGATCGACATTTTGCGCTCCTATTTTTGTTAGGTTGGAGTTCAGACAAGTTGGGAAGGCAAAAAGGTTAAGTTGATAAAAATGTCCAAAGAGTTTCTTCATCGTAAGTAGGTCTATTTTTATATTTCTGTTTGTTTGAACAGTGTTCACGACGACTTGCAAGACAATGTTGGTTCTATTATTACTTAGTCTTACATTACACTTCGAATTCTCGTTCTCTATTCAGTGGAATAGCCAACGTAAAAATTTGTGGGTAGGGATGTCTTGTTTCAAATGTTATGTCCGAAAGCTGAGAGTATTTCACTTTTGTTTCGGTCGGTTTAACAGTTGATAATGGGCTAGGAATTTCAGTTTTATAAAGCTTATACAGAGCATTCACTACAAGTTCTTCTTTTTTCTTTATTTGTAGTGACTCAGGAAGAGGTCATAACCACAATCCCAGGAGAAGTGAAATTTGACAGAGATCGTGATACACTCTTCATTAGATGTCAGGTTCGTGCTAAGCAGTTCGTAGACTTTGCTTGTTAGGGAGTTAAGGGTTTCCTTACGCCTAGTTCACACGCGCGACATAAGAGGGACGTTATGTCGTTGTGTTGGCAGTGTGAACATCTTGACATAACGACATAATAGCAACATAACGACATGAACACAACGACAATGAAAACAAGTGTGAACATCATCGACATAACAACAGAACAAAGAACCAATCAGAGCGGCGCAAGAATGATAGAATCCAGTCCGCCCCCAGGACTATATTCAAAATGGCGGCGACTGAGCAAGAATTGACGGTTGCCGTGTAAGAAATATTGACGGCTCGGATAGATGAAGAAGCACTTGAGGAAACGGTTTGATTTTTTTATTATTTCTTTCTTTATTTATTTATTTATTTATTTATTTATTTATTTATTTATTTATTTATTTATTTATTTATTTATTCATTTATTTATTCATGAAGAAAACACTTACAGTACAATAAAACATAGAGTAAAGTAAATTCCATGCAAAAAGAAAACTACGGCACTTTGAGGACTACAATAGATATAGAAATAAATTAATGCAAGGCGCTACTGATTAGAAATTTNCTCCTTGTCTTCCCTGCGCACGAATCTCACAATGATCGGACTAGGTCTACCTTGAATGGATTTTCCCATCCTGTGTACAGCACTACAACGCATTTGACTTATTTCTATGTCCGTTTCTTTGGTCATGATGTCGAAGATCAGCTCTCTGCAGTTCTCGCTTGGGCGTTCGGGAACGTTCCTGAATATTAAGTTTTCTTTTCGCGAGTACTCTTCCAGATGAAAACCTCTTCTTTTTCCTTCTTTAATTCTGCTCGTAGCGTAACAATTTCCTTAGCCTGAGAGGCCAGTGACAAGCGACAACGACTTGTTGCTCTCCTCGAGAGATTCGATTTTGGACGAAGACGTTTGTGCGGTCATTTCTAATTCAGACACAGTGTTTCTCAACACTTGGACTTCGGCCTTTAAATCCTGCTTGAAAATTCCCATTTCTTCTCTAAGCCTCTTGAAGTTGTTGTCCATCTTTTCTCCGAGGGAACTAAGAGTATCCATGATAGCATTTAGAGTTACCGGCGAAAGAGTGTTGTCGTCTGATGTATCCATGTTCGCACTATTTACACGTGGAAGCTTCGCGTTGACGGTTTGTGGAGCTTTAGGGCTGCTGAATCTCTTTTTTCTCTTCTTGTTTCCCATGTACCATGTTAACTGTCTACGCTAACCGAGAAACAAGAAACTCTTCGAGCCAAAAACTGTTTCAAGAGGAGGGAAATACGGGCTAAGGACGGAGCGCTAAAAGTCCGTCCGCCATGCCGGTCACGTCACAATCTCCGAAAACGGAGAATAAAATATCGGATACCATCAAACCGAAACCGAAACGGTTTGATGGTATCCAATATTGTATGACAAAAGTATGAAGGAACTTAAAGACCAAAAGAAGTGTCTCCTGCTCCATTTTTCACTTAGCCTTATGTCGCTATGTCGATGTTCACATTACCAGGCGAATATGTCGTTCTGTCATTATGTCGCTAGTGTGAACTAGGTTTTAGAGAGTTGCTACGACTGCAATGGCATCGAGAACGCCAGCAAACAAAAGGTATAATGCATGAGCAAAACACTAGCTGTGCACGTGAGTTATAAGTCTGTACATTTCGTAACCGTCCTCTGCGAAAGACCAAGTTTCGCGTATTTTGACGAACGTGAGTCACGACGGCTAATTTATCGTATTTTCTTCTGGTACTGATCGGTGGCGTTACATCTTTAATTTGAGTAGGGATTTAGACCGCTCTGCGTTCTGAACAATTCTAGATAAATTGAGAAATCCCAACGTAGAACATAAATCCATCCTTTTCCAGCCTTCATCCTTGGCATCGCTGGCTCCCTTTCACTCCTTGGCAGTGGTCTAGGAACTGAACAAGCTATATGTTCAATGGGCGAGAAAAGAAGTTGAAACATTTTTAGACAGTGACACTTAACGATACTAAACCCCTTATTCTATTTACTGGTTTACCCACTGTTGGCGCCTTACTTAGTAGCTAAAGGAAAAGTATCTTTAATTTGATTTGACAAATCTACGAAGTACAATTGAATATAGAGCTATAACGTAATTGTTCGATCTTGATTATTTGTATAAGAATCCTAAAGAAAAACTTACAAATTCTAACCAGCTTGTCCTTAGAAAGTCATCTTATGACATCTTAAAATTTCCTCAGCAGACAATGTGAATATAATACTGAAAGCACACCCTTCCCAAGGTGTTATCACTATTCACCTCCCTGGGTGATGGCGAGAAATAGCGTATTCACTACCCTGGAGAAATTGAAAAACGTAGCAATCACCGGTCATTTTGGATTTGTGTTTGAGGAAACCTCGGTAAGGGAAATAACATGAATATCGTGACGTCATCGTTATCGAAAAGGTCCGTTTTCTAAATGATATCCGTCGGCACTAAAACGGGAAGCGTTTTCGAAAAGCTCTCTTTTCGTGACGCGTAGACGTTAGAAATAAAGCTGCGCTTTCAAATTTCTCTGCCGTGGTGAGTCCGGGGCCTTAACTAACATATTTGCCATTCCTCTAAAGAAGACCGCAGAAGGCGGTCGAAAATTTAGTTGTTGTTCTTTTGTTAAACATTTTTTACATCAGTTTTAAACTCATTTTAAGATTTTTTGTTTGTTTGTTTATATTTAGGACGGCTGGGTTGGAGTGACAGAGCTTCAGTTTGAGGCCAAGACAGTCATTACTGCTAGAGACTTTGCTAATTCATACCTGCGACTGCCGAGTTCTGCGCAAAATTCAACGAAGAAATGTTTTGAAAATTTGCCATGGAAGGAAAGATGACAAATGTCCTTACCTAGATGAAGGAAAAGAAAATAGATTGTGCCATGGTCAGTGGATCGTAGGTCTTTCTGATAACTGAAGGGTACCAGGCAGCTGAAATTTGGCCAGTTTAAATATGTAAGGTCGACAATTAATACAAAATAATGTAATTCGCGATATTTATTTTACTTTAAATAGTGTTGTAGATACTATTATCGGTTGTAACAGTAGTTGACGGAACATTTGCATTTCATTTTTCTGAATTATATTTATGACAGTTTTGACATTATGATTAGTACGTATATAAAACAATTGCTAGGTTCAATGAATTACTCTGTAATGCAAGTATAACAAAAGCGGTAATTGAATGGAGAACTGTTACATATGTTCCACGGAGAAGGAAAACGTAATGTTAACTTAAATTGAAACAAATTCTTTACTAATGGTAATTGTAGGCAAAAACGCACACTAATGAAATACAAAACCACGTTAAAACAAAAGAAGTCTTCTGTTGATTGATCTTGATTCAATCTGAAATTGAAATAGTCCCTCTAAAAAGCTATTTTTATTAATACTGTTCATTTTGTATCGTCTTCAATAAATGTCACTAAATAAAAAATAAATAAAAATAAAAGACTTAATTTAACCTGAAAGGCCAATCAGTTAGCATGACTGTGTTTGCCATTAAAACCAACAATAATTAAAATAATACAGAAAATGGAGAATGATATCGTAACTGGTGGCAAGCGCGGGAAAACAAGTAAGAAAAAGCGCGGGAAAACAAGTCAGGCCCCGTCCAAACTACGCTGGAGGAATTTGAAAACGAGGCTTTATTTCTACGGTTAGGCCTACCGTCCACACTAATCCGTCACGAAAACGGAGCTTTATTTCTACGGTTAGGCCTACCGTCCACACTAATCCGTCACGAAAACGCAGCTTTATTTCTACGGTTAGGCCTACCGTCCACACTAATCCGTCACGAAAACGCAGCTTTATTTCTACGGTTAGGCCTACCGTCCACACTAATCCGTCACGAAAACGCAGCTTAACGAAAACGCTCTTCAAACCGGAGGAATTTGAAAACACCGGCTTTGCCTTCTAGAGTGGACGGAAGACATGATTTGAAAACGGAGCTTTTCGAAAACGATTACATCACGATAATTATGTGATTTCGCTTAAGGGAAATGCTAAAGGAGGGGTCACTGGGAATCAAATGCGAATGGGACTGAAGTCTGGGCAAAAAATAGGGACTAGGCAAAGGGATTTTCCCACTCTTCGCACATCTTTCTTCGCTCTTCACTCTTCACTCTTCACTCTTCACTCTTCGCTCTTCACTCTTCACTCTTCACTCTCCCCTCTTCGCCCTTCACCCTTCGCTCTTCGCTCTTCGCTCTTCCCTCTCCCCTCTTCACTCTTCACTCTTCACCCTTCACTCTTCACACTTCACTCTTCATGCTTCACGCTTCACTCTTCACCCCCCGCTCTTCACTCTTCATTCTTCGCCCTTCACTTTTCACTTTTCGCTCCTCACTTTTCACTCTTCAGTCCTCACCTTCACGCTTCACGCTTAACCCCTCACTCTTCACTCTTCTCCCTTGACGCTTTCACTTCACTCTTCATGCTTCACGCTTCACTCTTCACCCTTCACGCTTCACTCTTCGCCCTTCACTCTTCACTCTTCGCCCTTCACTCTTTACTCTTTACCCTTCTCTCTTCACCCTTCACTTTGCACACTTCACTCTTCATGCTTCACGCTTCACTCTTCACCCTTCACGCTTCACGCTTCACGCTTCACTCTGCACCCTTCACTCTTCACTCTTCGCCCTTCACCCTTCACTCTTTACCCTTCTCTCTTCACCCTTCACTTTTCACACTTCACTCTTCATGCTTCACGCTTCACTCTTCACCCTTCACGCTTCACTCTTCACTCTTCCCTCTTCCCTCCTCCCTCTTCCCTCTTCCCTCTTCCCTCTTCCCTCTTCCCTCTTCCCTCTTCCCTCTTCACTCTTCACTCTTCACTCTTCACTCTTCCCTCTTCAATCCAAATAAACTGCTAGGCGGTACATCACCCACAAACCTGGGGGAAGCTAGGAATCCACAGGGTGATAGCCGTTCTTCCTTTAGTCAGAACAAGCTGTTTGTGTTCTACATTTTTCATGTGGTTCAAATTAATTGGAATAAAAGGACAAAAAGGATTCCAAGTCAATGAAAACCCGAATATTTTTACTTTTTAAAAATTCGCAATCGAATAGGACCGAATAAACGTGAATAGTCTTAAACATACTCATTTCCACAGCAGAGGCAAGTTGCACACTTTTCATGCCTTATATGGCGCCAACTCCACCAGGCCAGTTCACTACGTTAACTCCGTTATGCGTGGTTCAACAGACCAATTTTGATATATTAAAATTCAGTCTAACAAAATAGACCTCAGCACGATCGCGAGGCTCTGGGGAATAAACCCCTCAAACTCTGTAGTTATTCCCCAAAGCTTCATACCGAGGTCTATTGTTTTAGGCTGAATTTTGATATATCGAAATTGGCCCGTTACAATTCACCCTCCCGGTCCCCAAGGCATACCCCCGGGATTTGACATTTTTTTTTTTCTTATTCGGCGGCCTATTCCCCACCCCGGGCACGAAAATGGGGACAATTCCCTGCCCCCGGGATTCCTATCTACTTCAACTATGTCTGTATGTGCATGCAATAAAAAGGGTGGCAATTAATATTGGCGCTGAACCAAAAAGTAAAGAGAATACTGAATCATAATAAAAGCCGTATAAAAAGCTATTTCAAAAAATCTGACTTTCTTAAAAGGTTGAATCAGTAGCTGTCGATTTTATATGATCAGACCAACAAACATTTTACTCAATTTACAAGTACTGGATCTGTAATAATGTGTAACTCGTTTGATTTCATATTTGTATTAAATCAACCTACCTTTAAATATGGACTTTAATTTAGAAAGATTGTTTTGTTCCAGCCAAGCCGAAGCAAACTCCTCCAGCTTTCCTACAGAAACACTCTTAACGTCCGGTAAGCGGTGCGTCGCCATTGCGTTTGATAAACGGAAACGGTCAAACCACTTACACGAAGCAATTTTTTTACTTGCCCCGCCCCCTAACCCCGGGACAAGACTGCCTAAAACAGTTCCCCATCCCCGACACAAAGGACTGGACCTGTCCCGGGAGTTCCCTGGGGAAGGATGGTAACAGGTGGAATTGAACCACCGAACCACACATTCTGGTTACCTCCAGCGGCGTCGACAAAACCAGGATCGGACCGGACCGGATCACGGATCCGATCACGGATCAGATCACGGATCGGATCACAGATCGGATCACAGAAAAAAAAAACGTTTTAAAGAAAAAAGAAAACAAAAAAAAAATCAAATCGT